TTAAAATGGGGCGGGAGACAAGAGAAATTAATTTTAATACTTTATTTCATTAAATATATCCAAAATATTATCATTTTGTTGGAATCAAGGTAAGATAGAAAGGGCTTAAAATGTGGTAATAGCAATGAAAATGGAGAGAATCTGGTAGATCTAAGTGATATTTAAAAGCAAAATAGGCAGAAGTTGATTATTTGGATGGAGGATAATAAGAGTACAAGATGGCTTCAAACTTGACCAGGTTCTTGCTTAACAACTGGCCAATCTTACTATCATTCACTGAGGCAGAGAACACAGGAAGTGGGCAAATGGGGGGCAGACAGAGCAAGAAGTAATAGTTTACTTTTAAAAGAGAGTTTGAGATGCCTATGAAACCTGCAACTAGTTCAATGTCCAAGGGCCAGCTGTGTATGTGAGACTGTGGCACTCGGGACAGAGGTCTGCAACACAGGGATAGATTTGGGGTTGATCAACACACACACACACAGCTGACAAGATGCAGCTGTGTGAGATTGGCCAGAGAGAATAAGGAGAGTAAGGAAGTGACTGTCAGAGTCCAGGGGGAAACCATTATCGAAGACATAAGGACCGCTCACCAAAGACCAGCCAGCAGTGATTAGAGAGTACAAGAAGACCCAGAAGAATATAGGTCACAACAGTTAAAGGAGGGAAGGTTGGTCAGCAATGTCAGATGCTGCCAGAAAATCCAACAAAGGAAGTAAAGCGGTGTCTTCCTAGAACTCACTGGACAGTAAAGAGGTGATGGGTGGCTTTGATGAGAACAGTTTGTGTAGAGAGTAAGGATAGGAGTCACACTGCTGCAGACTGAAAGTTGAGGGGGACATGCACACAACCCTTCCAGAAGTTTTCTGTGAAAGAAAAGATAGTTAAGGTGGTAACCAGTGGATATCAAGGATGGTACCTATTAATAAAGGAAGGTTTTTAAGACAGAAGAGACTGAGCATGTTTAACAGCTATTGGAAAGGAATCATTAAATTTTGTACTAGGTTATTTTATTGATTTGATAAGATGTTGATGATATATGAACTTTAAGTTCATGTCTGTAAAATAGTTTATGTACGTGTGTGTATACAGAGATAATATTCTGGAAGGACGTATACCAACATATTAACCATATTTATCTCTGGGTAGGTATAATAAAAGGATTTTTATTTTTATTATTTTTCTTTAAATGTATTGTTTATTAGGAGAAATATTGCTGTGTGATATAAAGAAGGTAATAAGCTGGAGACTTCATTTTCAGAGAGTCCCCCCTCCTACATATACAATGGTCCTGAAAATATGGTAGAAATAGGCTTCCTCCCAATTTGATAAAATATATTATAAAATCCCTAATCATGATTTCTCTAGTTCTGCCATTCTTGAGTCTAGGAAGGGGAAAAACCTTCACGGGTGTCCTGGCTGGGGTGGGAGGTGGCTACTGTCTCAGCCAGCCAGCCACTGGTTGAGGGAACTCCATCCAGTTATCCCCCTTCCCACAGATGGGCCACCTCTCCCCAGCCCTATCTATCAGGGCCAGAGCTGAGGAGAAGACTGTCCCCAAACGTGAAACTTGGTTAACAAGACTGAAAAGTGCCTGGAGGAGCCCTGGCTGGTGTGGTTCAGTGGATTGAGTGCCGACCTGTGAACCAAAGAGTGGCTGGTTCAACTCCCAGTCAGGGCACATGCCTGGGTTGTGGGCCAGGTCCCCAGTGGGGAGCATGTGAGAGGCAACCACACACTGATGTTTCCCTCCCTCTCTTTCTCTCTCCCTTCCCCTCTCTAAAAACAAATAAATAAAATCTCTAAAAATAAAGTACCTGGAGGAGACCTGGGGAAACAACTACAGCATAATGCAGCCCTTGTGGGCAGGCCAGTGATGCGATCACCGGCTGGCAGTGACTTCGGAATGCTGTGGATGGCTCGTCAACAGGAGAGAAAAACATACACAGAGACAACCAAGTCCTGTGGGGAAGTAGGAACAGAATGGCCACTCTCTCTGGTGGGGATGTTACAGGGTGCAGCCAAGAGGGGGGACCCCAAATGGGCATTTGAAATGGGGTCCAGAACTTAAGGTGTCCAGGAGATTTTAAGATGTCTTCATCCCCCCACCCAGGGTGTGGGTTGGGAGAAGGAACAAATGGAGCAGGGCCATTGAGAGCTGTTTTGCATAGCAACAGCCTTGCAGCTAAGCTCTGGTGTGGTCATTTAACATATCTATAGCCTTTGGCTGGTCGCTTAGATATGTTAAATAGCTGTGATCATCTCTGAGCCAGGGGAATGGAAGTAACTTTCCCACCAAGACGTGACTGGGGGCAGATCTCCCAAGCTACAGTGCCTGCGTGGGAGCTCGGAGAAGATTGGCTCCAAGACATGGGGCCACACCTGCCCAGACTCATGATGGCAGCTCAGGAAACCTGGAAGGATACGAGTTCTGGCATGTGAAGCCGAGTGTGGGAGGAGTCGGAAATGAGGCTGCAGAGGAAGATTGGCCATGGGGATTTAAAAGCCAGACTTGGCAGCCATTAAGAGAGAGAACCATGCTGCTTTAGGAGGGTGAGCCATGCGCAGCCCTGAGAAGAGAGAACCGTGGTGCTTTAGGAAGGGGAACCATGCTGCCTTGAGAGAGAGAGCCATGTGCAGCCCTGAGAGAGAGAGAACCATGCTGCTTTGAGAAGGAGAGCCATGCGCAGCCCTGAGAATGAGAGCCATGCACAGTCCTGAGAAGGAGAACCGTGCTGCATTAGGAAAGAGAACCATGCGGCTTTGGCAGAGTGGGGACTCTCCCCTTCCCGCAGCCCTGAGGGAGAGAACCACGTGGCTTTGGCAGAGTGGGGACTCTCCCCTTCCCACAGCCCTGAGAGGGAGAACCATGTGGCCTGGACAGAGTGGGGACTCTCCCCTTCCCGCAGCCCTGAGGGAGAGAACCACGAGGCCTGGACAGAGCGGGGACCCCCACAGCTTTAGAAGGGGAACCACCACCTGGTTTTAGCAGAGATCCCGGTGACTCAGCCGAGGGTGCCGGGTACCCAGGGAGGTCTCCCAGTCGAGATGGAGGACTAACTAAGAACCAGAGGACTGCCTGAGCCATGGACTTCTATTTCCTTTCCTGAGATACGGTACTCTGGACTGGGCAAAGGGGGGAAGGAAGGAAGGACTGTGACTGTGTTTGTGGGTGTTTTAAGGGACTTTGGGATTTTTGATAAAGACATTAGGTCACTACTTTAAGTTTGTATAGCATTAAATAAACATTTCCTTTCCTTTTCACAAATCTCTGGCATTGAGAGATGTCTTTCCTCGGGCGGCGGACATAACGGACCCGGGGCCTTCTTTCAATAATAGTATACTGTCCCAGGCCCCCCTTGTCTGTTCTGTAACAGGGAGAGTGTGCCATTCCCCCTCTGGAGAGGCTTTTTATTGGTTTCATTTGAATAAGAATTCAGGTAAAAGCTAATTACTCATTGCTAGGAAGTAAGGATCAAACAATAGATAGCAAGGAAGTCTGAGGGCCTATTTTGAGTGAGGATCAAAGAGCTGTAAAACTTTAAAGAACAAACTTACTTCTTCCTTGGACCCTTACCATTCAATTGACAGCATTCTAAACAAAGCAGTTTTCACAGGATTTTACATATTCTTTCTTAAACCTGATCACCCAGGGAACCCTCCCTTTTCAGGACAGAGCAGCACCACCCTGTCATTGTTTCAGGCTTAGGTGGAGCAAGGGAAGTAAGGCAGCCAAGAGATTAGGAGATTTTCTCCCAGACGATGAGGACTCAGGCTATATCACAGCTGAGGAACAAGGGTCCATCACCTCTTTTACTGTAGCCCCCAAAGTCCTTTCTTGGTGGCCTCCCACATGATCATGCCTGTCTTAGATCATTCTCCCCTTGGGGAATCTTACCTGTCATTGGCTAACCGACCAAGCATTGTGGTTCAGTTATGAATGAAGCAGCAGAAGCAGCGCTCCTGCCAGGGAGATAAGCTTTTGTCTACTTGCTGGCTTACGGTCCAAGGCCACTCCCTCAGCCTTAGCCTTGGTGGGGGTTACAGCTTCTGATACCAGGCAGGGCAGTTCCCAACAGGCCAGGCCCATCCTCCCCCTCAGTGGTGGCAAACAACAGGCCAGTGTCACCATCTAAAAGCTTTCCTTTATATGGGTCAAAAAGCATAAAACTGTATAAAGGCCACAAAATGGATGAAGGTATGAAAATTGAAAGAATTCAGGTCAAAGATCATCATTATTTTACTTTTCCTTTACTGTTTTCCTCTTCTTTCCTTCTCCTTTTCTTTCTACTGCCTTTGTCAAAGTTACTTTGTGTCTTACCTAATTAATTCATTATAGTATTAGTTATAAGTAGTAGTTTGGGGAAATATTCTTCTTTACTAGGTGGAGACTAGCTGCCCTTGAGCATTTGAAGCTCCAAGACAGAGACAAAGAATAAATCAGGAGAGTATTAGAAAATGCTAGAGTCTTTTCCTGGGGGGGGGGTGGGGGGCGGGGAGGGGGAATAGTGGTAGAATATGGCCTCAATGGGCTAATTACCTGACTGTGTAATTATTTCATGAAGTGTACATATGCCAAATCATTGTATTGTCCAATTTAAATATACACAATTTTATTTGTCAATTATACTTTAATAAAAATGAAACAATAAGAAAAACAAATGCTCACTTCAGCAGCACATATACTAAAACTGGAATCACAGAGAAGATTTGCATGGCCACTGCACAAGAATGACACAGACTCATGAAGTGTTCCCTATTTTAAAAATAATGAATGAGATGGAATATACAATGCAGTGACTATCTGGTATATTTGAACATTGCTAAGAGAGATTATCTAAGTTCTCATCACAAGAAAAAAAATAGTAACTGTGGTGATGGGTGTTAACTAGCCTTATTGCGGTGGTCATTTCACAATATACACAAATATCAAATCATTATGTGACACACCTGAAACTAATACAATGTTATATGTCAATTATATTTCAATAAAAGTTAATAAATAAATGCAAAAGAATAGGGACTCATAAAGTTATAACCAAGAGCATGAAGCAGACCTCAGAGAATTCGTCTCCACCCATGCAATCGAAATGGTAACCTGCTTCCAATCTTGCTTTCCCCACACTGCTCCTTCCCACACGTCACCCACACACTCAGTCAGGACCCGCGGCTGAGGGAAAACGAGGCCCCGCCCAGGTTAGGAGCAGGCCGGAATGGACGGGGCTCTGGCCCTAACGCTGCCCACAGCTGTGAGGCCCTGAATTTTTCCAAACATTTGTTTCCTCAGCCAGCAAGGGAAGAGAATAGGCCCCGCCTTCGAGTGGTGAGGACTGTTTTAGGTAATGCATTAAAGACCTCGGTTTAATACTTGGCATGTTAATGACCATTCTCATTAAACGCCGGCCATTAGGCATACTTACATAATTACTTCTAATGAGGATGTATGCTTAGAGTCACATTAATGACGTTATTTAAGATTTTTGCGATTCTGATGTGGAAGAGGGGTTGGTAAAGATGTGTGGGTGGCTCTTTAAATATCTTTCTTTACATTTTCAAGTACTTTAATGTATTAAAATATGTTTTATTCTTCTTATTCCCATAAAAGAGCAACAGAGCAGATCAAATTCTCTACTCAGATGCCAGAAGCAGTTGGACTGGGATGCGAGTCTTCTTGAGGAGCAGACGCACCACCTCCATCACTGAGCATCTGCAGACAGTCTTCCACAGCTGCCACCCCAAACCACGGTAAGCTGCGCTCAGAACACACAGTGGCACTGTGTGGGAATGAAGCACTATTTGGGTCCTTTTTCAAAGAGAGGAGCTGTGTATGCTTCTCCGTGTTCTTCCTTCCTAGAGCTCCTTCTTTCCTCCGCTTTCTTGCTGGATCTTATCTCCAACCGCAGGCATTCTCTTTCATTTTTCTCCTTTCTGTTTTCAGGGCCCTGGAAGAGAAGGATCAGAAAAGCATAAAAATATGCCAACAGCTGACAACCTTTTGCATTTCACTTAATTACCACAAATGAAGAAAGGCCTGATCATTGAGCAGACTTCCACATCTTAGTTTCTTATAATAAATTAGCATAAGCCTAAGGATGGCACTAAGGGTTTTAGTCATAAATAAAAAATAAATGAAAAGGGGGGTGGGAGGTGTCTATGGAGGAAACTCATCCTGCACGTGACTGACTACCTGTGACACACGGGGGATGTGATTTCACAACACGATAAAATTACAGTCTCCTGGTGCTTCTTTTTTTTTTTTTAAGGAATGTGCTAAGTGAATCATGCATGCAATGATTCTAACCTTGCTGTGTCCACTCCCTTAAATTATATTAACAGTAGGGTTTGCGCTGGTTTTAATGTGAGGACTCTGTGATTGTTACAGGGTGCAGCCAAGAGGGGGGACCCCAAATGGGCATTTGAAATGGGGTCCAGAACTTAAGGTGTCCAGGAGATTTTAAGATGTCTCCATCCCCCCCCACCCAGGGTGTGGGTTGGGGGAAGGGACAAATGGAGCAGGGCCATTGAGATCTGTTTTGCATAGCAACAGCCTTGCAGCTACCCTCTGGCGTGGTCATTTAACATATCTATAGCCTTTGGCTGGTCGCTTAGATATGTTAAATAGCTGTGATCATCTCTGAGCCAGGGGAATGGAAGTAACTTTCCCACCAAGACGTGACTGGGGGTAGATCCCCCAAGCTACAGCACCTGCGTGGGAGCTCAGAGAAGATTGGTTCCAGGACATGGGGCCACACCTGCCCAGACTCAAGATGGCAGCCCAGTAAAGCTGGAAGGATATGAATTCTGGCAAGTGAAGCAGAGTGTGGGAGGAGTCGGAAATGAGGCTGCAGAGGAAGATTGGCCGCGGGGATTTAAAAACCGAGACTTGGCGGCCATTGAGAGAGAACCACGCGGCTTTGAGGGAGTGGAGACTCCTGCATCCCAGAGAGAACCATGCGCAGCCCTGAGAGAGAGAGCCATGTGCAGCCCTGAGGGAGAGAACCATGCGGCTTTAGCAGAATAGGGAGAACCTCAGCCATTAAGAGAGAGAACCATGCTGCTTTAGGAAGGAGAGCCATGTGCAGCCCAGAGAGAGAGAACCACGCGGCTTTGGCAGAGTGGGGACTCTCCCCTTCCCGCAGCCCTGAGGGAGAGAACCACGAGGCCTGGACAGAGCGGGGACCCCCACAGCTTTAGAAGGGGAACCACCACCTGGTTTTAGCAGAGATCCCAGCGACTCAGCCGAGGGTGCCGGGTACCCAGGGAGGTCTCCCAGTCGAGGTGGAGGACTAACTAAGAACCAGAGGACTGCCTGAGCCATGGACTTCTATTTCCTTTCCTGAGATACGGTACTCTGGACTGGGCAAAGGGGGAAGGAAGGAAGGACTGTGTCTGTTTGTGGGTGTTTTTAGGGACTTTAGGATTTTTGGTAAAGACATTAGGTCACTACTTTAAGTTTGTATAGCATTAAATAAACATTTCCTTTCCTTTTCACAAATCTCTGGCATTGAGAGATGTCTTTCCTCGGGCGGCGGGCATAACGGACCCGGGGCCTTCTTTCAATAATAGTATATTGTCCCAGGCCCCCCCTTGTCTGTTCTGTAACATGATGACTGAAGTGTCAAAATAACATCCAAACCCACTAACAGTCCCCAACAGGTTGCCCAGGGGTCTGTATGCATTAGAATGAGGAGCTACCAGACTAACTACAGAGACCCAACCTCCTACATTTTACACCTAGGTGGAGGGAGACAGACAATTAATCAAAAGCCTAACAGGGAACAAGGGAATAAGAAGCAAATAGCGGTAAGTGCGATAATGAGAGGAAACAGGATGGTAGTCTGGGGCCTGGAGGTGAAGGGGCTGCTTCTTTAGGTTCCAGGCCAGGCAGTGCCTTTCAAAGGAGTTATCAGCAACAAAAAGTGGCACCGATAAATGTGGTGGATGCCATCTATTTACACTTCTCTTTTTTCAGAGTGAAGAAAGAAAATCATTGTTCTCCTCAGTTCGATCTGGAAATGCTGGGGAACCCGGGAAAGCCTATCAAGTGAACTTACACCGGGCCGAGTGGCGGTCAGATGAGCAGGGCATGACTCAGCGCTGCAGGGGTGTCAGTCACTTCCTCCGCAGGGTTAAACTGCTTTCACACAGCACCTAGATTGTTTCCCTGCACCCTGTAATGGTCCAGTAGTCAAACTCAGAAAGCAAGGCAAATGCCAAAGCTGAGATTCAAATGAAGAGGAACTTAAAATTTGTGCTACCTCTATAAATGTGCCTCCAGATTATTTTCATTAGATCCAGCAATTGTATTAGGTCCATCAGCCTGTTCAAAATTTATATGTAGCAGTCATGAATGTCTCCAATACTTAAAATTAGTATAAAAAATACAGTGATGATTATTTCCAACTTGGTTTTTTCCTTATTGGGGGTAAAGACTGAGAAATGCTCATAAATAATGACCTGAAGTACTTTTCTTATCTTAGCCATTTAGAAATAAAATGTGAAAATGATCAGCATAAGCCAATTGCGGTTTTCAACATCAAAATGAAAGAATTCAGTGTTATTGCCCATGATCAACTACAAAAGCAGTCGATCTGGTTCTTTTGGATGCTAAAAGATAAAAATTTAAATCTACATGTTTGTTTGCACTTGGCCCCCAAACAAAAGATAATATCATTTTTAAATTCACCAGCAAATCACACTCTTTAATGTAGTTAGCTTTAGAAAATTGTGTTGCTTGTGAAATTAAAAAATATTTTAAAGTATCTGTATATCTGTTCTGAATTTTAATTTTCATTGAGATTAACTTTATTTAAAAACTGATATAAAATAACATATTTAAAATTATTTACTATAAATATTGTTATCATATGAAAACTTTTAATAATTTTGTAAATTTCTAGCAGGTTTCTATCTATTATAGTATATACCTATGGAAAAAATCCTGAAGTAAAAAAAAATGCTGAAAATGATGCCTTGGTTATCTTGGCATTCAAAAAGAAGAACTTGGGCCCTGGCTAGTATGGCTTCATGGATTGAGTGCCAGCCTGTAAACTGAAGGGTCATGAGTTCAATTCCCAGCCTAGGCATATGCCTGGGTTGAGAGCCAGGTCCCCAGTTGTGGGTGTGTGAGAGGCAGCCACAAATTGATGTTTCTCTCCCTCTCTTTTTCCCAATCTTCCCATCTCTCTAAAAGTAAATAAAATCTTTTTTTTTAAAGGAATAACTTGGGAAACGAATGGAACAGCATGTTATATTTTAGGAATAATGTGATAAACATCTTTCAATAAAAACTGATTTCACATTTACATACTTTTAAGGTTTATAATATTAGCAAATGATTTCACATAAGTAGTTATATGAGATTATGTGTCATTATTTTAAAAAGTTTTGAGGCCATTAGAATCAACAAAGAAGTGTTTTGATTAAATTGTTTTTTAAGTATATGTATGTGTATACCCTACCTTGTCTCAGAAAAAAAAATTAAGATTCTATTTATTCTGAGAGAGAGGAAAAAAGAGGGAGAGAAGGACGTCTCACATGCAGGCCAGCAGCACTCAGCCCACTGAGCCACACTGGCCAGGGCTGTTCTAGGAAGAGTTTAAAGCAGGTAGATTTCCTGAATGAATATAATTAGTCATTTAAAATGTAGGGTTTCTTTTGTTTATTTGTTTTTAATCCTCACCTGAAGACATTTTCTTTTCATTGCTTTGAGAGAGAGAGAAGAGAAACATTGACGTGAGAGAGAAACATTGGTCGCTTGCTTCCTGTCTGTGCCTCTACCGGGGACCAAAACTGTGATCTTTGGGTTCACGGGAGGACGCTCCACACCAGCCAGGGCAACATGTAGTTTTAAAACAGGAATTCTTTCATTTCTGTTTTATCCTTGCCAAAGTTTCATAATCTGAATCTAATTTTGAGGAAATATTGGGTAACCCCAAATTGAACGTTATTCTAAAAAATAACCGCCTTGTACTCTTTAGATGACAGTGTTGGAAAAGACAAGTGAAGACTGAGGAACTGCTTCAGAATAAAATAGATGGAAGAAAAAATAAATAAAATAAAATAGATGGAAGAGAATGAGTTGTTTGCAACACATGATCTAGAATCTCTCATAAAGAATTTATCGGGATAACAGGCAAAACATGAATAAGATCAATAGATTAGATACAAAAGGATTACACTGGTGGTAATTTCCTGAGTTTCATTACCGTATTGTGTTCAGCTAAGAGGATGTTCCTGTGCCCTTGTTCAGGGATGGGAAGGAGAGGGTATAGGTAAACATGACTTATGGTTACATTTAGAGGGAATCTAGATGAAGGGTGTATTCTTTGTACAATTCTTGTAACATTGCTCTAAATCTGAAACCATATTTTTTAAAAAGCAACAGTATAAAGAAAGGACAAAACAGGGACTCTTGAAGTGAGAGCAGTTTACTATTCTTCCTTCCGTATTCCTCTTACAATCTGGTGAAAAAAGCAGCTTACTAAAGGGAGAGCACCGACACACAGGGTCACTGAAAAAAAGTGAGGCAAAGACATACAGTAACAGTCCCACCAGCCATGTCTGCTGGGCAGAAAGCGCTGGGCTCAGATGGACAAGGAGTAGGAAGCACCTGAGTGTCTTCCCCTGTGCACAGAGCATAGCTCAAGACCCAGGTGGTAATGCACCTGGGTTCACTCATTTGTTCTACCATATAGCAGAACATATTATTGCTGTTTTGTGAAATAAAACAAACACCAAGGACCACAAAAAAAGAAGTATTTGCTTAAGGCCACTCAGTGAGTGTTGTGACCCAAATTAATTGCACCTCCAAATTAACTGATCTAGTTTATCACTTTATCAAGTTTGGCATCATCAGTGGAGCTTCTAACACTATTTCCATGCTGGTCTCCCTTGTGCTCTACTGATCCTCCCGCAAGGCCAGTGTGAACACCTGGACCACACCTGCTTACCAGGTAGTGTCTAGAGAGCTCCCTCGACCTGCCTTTTTAAAGTCCCGGGGAACATGACACCATCACAGACTACTTGCTGCCGGATTAAATACTGCACCAGACCAGCAGGAGCAGTTTTTCTCATCTCTGGATAGTGAAAGGAGAGTGAGTCACAATGATTTAGTTAGTCTAAAGGTGAAGGAAGTGATCTCAAAGAACTAGAGCACCTCCATAACAAAAACATTCCACTAATGGTCCTCCAGGAATCCTTCCCACACCAGGCACCTTCAGTAAAAATAATAATAATAAATTTTTATGTACATCTGGGCTATGTAAAACTGAGTGTCAGTTTTTCAAAGATCTCAACACCAAGCTATGAAAGAAGAAGTGGGATTTGTTCTCCTCCAGTTTGGGCAGGAGGAGCCCTTTGGGTTTCCTGTTCTGAAGTGGCTTAAATATTCAGTGACTCTGTTACATACCAAAGAGACAGAGCGTTTGGTTCTGAAGCACAGTTGCTGTTCGAAGGACTCTGAAAATGCCTGCATTTTGGAATGGGATCTCCCTTTCGATTCCAATGGCACCCTGAGTGACCCGTCCCCTGAACTTTTCCTGTAATCCCTCACGTGGGTATGACAGCGAAACCCCTGGTCCTCGTGAGAATGCCTTCTGGGATGGCTGTCAGATGATGAGGCTCTGGGAAGCACAGGAAACTGGAAATGTAGAATAAAAATGTTTACAGTATAAAGAGGCTGTATGATATTAGCACAGAGACAGAATATCCATAAATTATTAACTAAACAAATACCACGCTAAACTGAAATTTTATCTTTTTCATCATCAGGACCTTTCTGCTGCAATGAAGCAGTGGAATCAATGGATTAAAACATTAAGTAGAACATCCCAAGGTTACTTAGGTTGCTCCTCCACCCACCATTAGGGCAATATAATAAATCATCCCAAGCCTTGAACTGCAATTGTAAAAGCACAAAGTTATCAAATAAGTTTAATGAAGCCATAAATGTTTAACAAATAATATTTTTTAAAAAGCCCTGGCAGGGTAGTCAGTTGGTTAGAGTATCATTTGTGCAGGTGCAGGTTTGATCTGTGGTCAGGGCACATACAAGAATCCACCAATGAGTGGGTCCCACTCAAAAGTGAGTGGAACATCAGATGGATGTCTCTTTCCCTCTCTTCCTCACCTCACTGCTCTAAAAATAAATAAATGACATGAAATTTCTTTATTAAATACATAATATAAAAATTAATGTGTGATTTCTATACAAAGAAGGAATTTCTGAGCAGAAGAGCAATGGAAGAAGTCATCAGGAAAAAATAATTTAACTATGTAAAAATAAAGCTAATATGCATCTAAAACAACTTAAAGTAATTGATACAAACCAAAAACATGTGCTACATGTTATACTAATGTTTAATAACACCCTGACAATATGCAGTGTATCTCACATACACAGAGAAAGACAGAAGTCATGGAATGCAATGACATCGGTGTTAAAATGACCAGTGTTACATTGATCAGTGTTACAGTGTTACATCAGTGTTAAAATGACATCAGTGTTACATTGAAAAATGATCAAAGGAGAAACGGTTCAGAGAAATCAAACTTCTTGAAAGAACTGTGACTCTTGCTTTCTCAATCTCTCTCACTCCCCAACCCACGCCAGCCTAGCTTTTCCACCCACAACTAACTTTGGTCATGATATCGGCTACAATGTTGCCAGGTTCTGTGCACATTTTGGTCTTAATTAAGTAGCATTCTACCCAGTTGCCCTGAGGGCCCTTCTGGAAACACTCTTTCCCTCACCCTCTACCACTGTACCCTCTTGGTTTCCCTCTGATTTTTCTTTTTTTAAAAAAGATTCTATTTATTTATTTTTAGAGAGAGGTGAAGGGAGGGAGAAAGAGAGGGAGAGAAACACTGATGTGTGAGAGAAACATTGATGAGCTGTTTCTTGCACTCTCCCAGCTGGGGACCTGGCCTGGAACCCAGAAATGTGCCCTGCTGGGAATTGAATCAGCAACTTTTCTGTTCATAGGTCGGTGCTCAGTCCATGAGCCACACCAGCCAGGGCCCTCTGATCTTTCTGACTTTGACCTTGTCCACTACCTCTACTTCACCAATAGCTAAACTTCCTTCAGTCACCACCGAAACTGCACATCCCCAGTCTGGGGATGGTTTTAAACCTGTCCCACCACCCTGATTGGTTCAGGTCTCGGTTAGAAGTTCTCCTAGGACCTCACACGTCTCCTTCACGATACTTATCACAACTGTAATCAGTAATTTGGGTAATTTTGCTACATGTCTCTCTTCTCCATTGGCTCATATTATCCATGACTCAAGGGCTATGTCTCGGTCTCTGCGGGAATCCCAGTGCTCTGCAGCACCTTGCCTTGTTCACAGCATGAGCTTACTAAATCTATAAAGAATTTTAAAAAATACCAAATGGTAAAAATTGTTTATGCTTTTTAGCAAAGTTATATAAAATGAAATAATGAATAATTTTGCCTTTCAGGTTAGCAAAAAAAAAAAAAGTTTGTTAATAATACAAACAGCAGCAAGAGTAGAGGGAGACAGGTCTGCCATTCCTGGCGGAAAGGACTAGAAGTGCACACACCTTCCTAGAAAGCTGTTCTCAAAACCTGTCAGGAGGCTCCAAATATTCCCCTTCCTGGGTCCATCTGTTGAGTGTTGCTCTGGGCTGAACTGTGCCCCACCTCTCCAATTCATGTATTGAAGCCCTGGGTGAGTAACTCAGAATGTGACTGCCTTTGGAGACAGAACCTTTGAAGATTAAGGTAAAATGAGGCCATTAGTGTGGGCCCTAATCAAGTCTGAGTGGTGTCCTAATAGAAAAGGAAATTTGGACCCACAGAGCAATACCAGGGATCTGTTAACACAGAGGGAAAAGAACGTGAGGACCCACCAGGAAGGAGGCCATCTACAAGCCAAGGAGAGAGCCCTTGGCAGAAGCCAAGTCTGCCTACTCCTTGATCTTGGACTTCCAACCTCCAGATCTGTGAGAAAATAAATTTCTATTGTTTAAGCTCCCTAGTCTACAGTATTTTGTTACGGCAGCCCAAACAAACTAATACACATCTAGAAACTTACTGTCAAACAATAACTGGAAATATGGTTGAAGATTGGTCAAGCTGCTACAATACATGTGGTATTGCAAATCTGTATTTATACGCCCATTTATGGTACTTGGTGCTGTGAACAAGTTGGGGAGCAAAACAGGCAGAGTGGGCCCATCTGGGAGCTTCTGTGTGCACAGGAGATAGACATGAAACAAGCAGGGCATGCGCTTACTGCTGTGGCCAACATTACACAGGTTCCAGGTGTGAAGAGAGGGTGTAACGGTAAAACTGTGTCTGTTTAGGTGGGCGTTGGGACAGCTAGGAGGGGTAGTGGGAGACTCCTTCATAGGTGTGATGACTGAGCAACAATCTGAAGGATGAGCAGGGTTAATGAGAGAATAGGGACCTCTTCCTGCCCAAGGATGAACACCGTATGTCCAAGGCCCTGTCACAGGACAGGCCTGTGGTTCCAAGGAGGAGAGGCCTGGGGGGCGGGGGGCACGGCGGGCAGAGAGCCCGGGGCCCAAGAGCAGAGAGAGGGCTGGAATAGGGAGGTGCTGAAGGGCTGAAGGGGGGTGCTATCACAAGATGGGTAGTCTTGAAATACACCAAACTATGACCAATACTTTTCTCTGTGATGTGAGATTGTTTGTTTTCTTCTCCTTTTTGGTATTTTTCAAGTTTTCTACAGTGATTATGTATTAATTATCAGGAAAAATGATAATGTTTAAAAATTTGAGACTGAGACACAGAAGGGCAAATACTGCATGATTCCACTTACATGAGGGATCTAAAAATAGTCAAACTTATAGAAACAAAAACAAAAAAAAATAGAATGGTGGTTGCCAGGGGCTAAGAGGAGAGGAAGTGGAAAGTTGCTAATCAGTGGATATAAAATTCAGTTATGCAAGGTGAGTAGGTTCCGGAGACCTGCTGTACAGCATCGTGCTTATTGATAACAATACTGTATTATATACTTAAAAATCTGCTAAGAGGCTGGATCCCAGGTTAACTGTTCTTGCAACAACAGAATTTTTAAACAAAATTTTAAAATTTGAGACTGGGAGTAAAATACAGATTTCCTGTACCACGGAGAGGCCTGAAAAGAATTGAAATGTTTCCATCACAATATAAATATGTTTACTATCTCCTTAGAGCAGGTGGGATTTCTAGTTTGTTGGTTTTGGTGGGGGACTTTGTGAGAAACAAGTTTAAAAGAGCACTCTCATTGATTATAGGGTGAAGCTCCCACTTTTAAAAATGTTACTTGTGAAAGCTCTACTTTGGGAATTTTATGTGCCTTTCCAATATAATTTCCCCACAAAGACATGAATTGACACCCTACATAACTTATTTTTACCAAGTATGTGCTTGGCTCCTCCACAGTCATGGACTGAGCTTCTAGGTCTACTTCCCACACTGTCAGGTAGGCTTTGTCACTTGGGGTGGGATCCCCCACACTCTGATCTCACCGGCTGAGCTCCCGGGGGGCCCCAGCTACAGAGCCTGCGGCAGGCACTGACTTTTGCAGCAATAACTACTCCGGGCCCCTGACTTGCATTGCAGTGAGTCCACTAAATAGCTTAGCTGTTTCCACTGTGGTCCCAGAAATCCTGTGCACTCTCTGACCCCAAGTTCTCATTTTAAAAATATTGGTTTTGTAATATCTTCACTTCAGAGCTTAACTGCTCATGTTCTTTATCCTGGCTTTCATCGCTATCATCCTTCTACTGTGCCCCTCCTGCCCTCTGAGTAAACGCAGCACCTGAGCCACCCACGACAACAGGATGAGAAACAACCAGGTGCCGGGATAATAAGACCCATGTTGAGTCTTACTGTACAGTGTGTACCAGGCACTCTGGGGACAATGACCTTGAACTCTAATATCAGAGGAAATCCTACAAGGAGGTTGTTCTTCCCCTTTTACAGATGAGGAAACTGAATCTTAGCTGGCCTAAGATTTGTGTGACTAGTGATGTTACTGGAGAAATAAAGTGTCCTGCCTACGCATGAAACATCTCTTTCTTGGATGAATAATTCTAAACTTTTTTCTTGAACTGCAGCAAAAATGTCATACTAGTTCTACATGAAAGTGCCTGTGAACATAACTTTCAATAACATACCAGACATAGCAGAATACTACTACAAAAATAATGATAATAATTTGTAGGTCTTTAAGAATTGTATTAAATAAGAATTTTATGTGAGGCATAATATATAACATTGTCTAATGATATCATCAGAGCCAAAAGGGCTGGATGTAAATTAGTCAACATATGGAAACAGCATTAGGAAAAAATACACAAACTGGTAGGTAGCTCTTTTAGAAATAATAAAGATAAGGTCAGTACCATCCACTGAACATCCTTTAGGGAAACTGAAGGATAATTTAAACTATTAACCTTTCAACTGGGGAAATAAGTGGGCCCTGCTCTGTCATGTGGCCCCAATGAGTCCGTGGGAAGCCACCATGAGGACCCAGTCCTACACCACAAAAAGGTGAACGAAGGAGAGGTGTAAGAAAAACTTTTGGACCTTGTGAGGCCCCAACCTTCTCCTTGGGATGATTCAAGGACTTGTCTCACTCATTCAGAAACTGAAGTAGCCAAACTCAGCTCATCCAAACCACACGCCACTGAGATCATCACCCCAAATGCCTTTAAATCCGATTCGGTATAGCAACATTTTTTCCTACTAGGTCCCCACTGTCCAGTGATCATTATTCTTGGTGTGAACATGTCTTAGTCAACTCAGGCTGCTGTAACAAAATACCATGGACTGGACTGGGTGGCTTACACAATAGAAATTTATTTCTCACAATTCTGGAGGACTGGGAAGTTCAAGATCAAGGTGATGGCCAATTCAGCTCCTGGTGAAAGCCCTCTTCCTGGCTCAAATATGGCTACATTCTTTCTATGTGCTCGTTTGGTCTTTCCTTGGTGCATGTATATGAAGGGAGAGACAGAACAAGCTTACTGGTATCCTTCTTATAAGGGCACAATCCCCTCTGACAGAGCCCTGTCCTCCTGTCCTCATAGAAACCTAATTACCTCTTGGGTTTGTGAGAAATCCCCTCAGGGGCCATGCCCCACCTCAGCCCTATGGGGAGCAACCACAGGGAACCACCCCTGTAGTCAGATACTATGATTGAGAGTGTGTACCACCCTCAGGTCAGTCAGAAATAAAAATAAAGATTAAAATTATTTTGTGCTTGAAATTGAGGATATGAAGAGAAACTATACCATGGGGAACAGATGATTTTTAAGAATGAAAAAAGCAAATAAAAAATCCTTGGGTGCAGGTAGGTAGAGGCTTACTTTGTATCCTCCACCTTGGCACATAGAAGGAGAACTGAGAAAGTCCATTCAGAGCAAACAGAGCCCTAGGCCAGTGAACTCACTGCCTCCTCGAAGAGTCTTTCATTTAGCTTATTCTCCCTCCCTCCCAAACTATACAGAACAATGTTAAGAAAACCGTAAGCTGAAAGAGAAGATGGCTAGAAAGCTGAATAGACAAAGGATTAAAACTCCACTTTCAGTGAGTGGGGTAAATAAGTGATATGGAAACTGCTTCACTTCAAGTTTGTATCCATGTGATGATGGAGGAGAGAGCAGCTGAGTTCAGTAATGAGAGCAGTCACATCACTTTCTTTTTCACCAAGGACAATCAAGACAATTAAGTTGAGTTTTTAATCACTTTAAATCAGCAATCACAGGTTATAATGAGTCTGGCTGAAAGTAGTCTTCTCGGAGAAGGACTAGACTTGACCCTTTGTCATACCTTGTTCTTTCTGCCAAATTTGTATTTTCTGCTAGAAGGGAAGTTCCACAAGTATGGAGACCTCCTATGTCTTCTTTTACTCTATAATCCTATTGTGCCTTGCACAATGCATGACACATGGTAGGTGTTCAATAAACACGTGCAGTAAATTAATGCTCCATTGCTATGTTTTTGCAAAAGTCATGAGGCTGAAAGCCCTGTTAGATTCAAATAGGAAAGAAGCAGGAAACTCTCCTCTCAGATGCATGGACTGTAACACTGATGTGGTTGTTAACAGGCAATGAGACGGCAGAGCCTTAGACTGCAGCAGTGGGGAGAGAAGAAGCCAGGTGGGCAAAGGGTAAGCTTTTCTTAAGTTATTTTTATTGACGTCAAAGCAAAACACAAAAATTAAATCCTGATTGTTCTCATATCACTAATATAAGGACAATCTGAACACATCTTAGAGTTAGGAAAATTTAAGTATCCAAGTACAGATTCACTTCACAAATATATGTTACTATGTGAAGAAAGATAAAGAGTCAGACTCCCTGTCTCCCAGGACCCTGGCCACACTGCCCTGGGTCCCCTCTCTCTGTTCTGTTCAGTCAGGTCGTCATTTTGCTCCATGCCTCATCTCCTTAAACGAAAACATGCTTTCTGCATGTTGGTCTGATGACTGTGGAATTCATTACTGACTCAGATAATCTGAACAGGTTCATTCAGGCAAATGCCCCAAACGAGTACGAGCTGAAAAAAATGTATGGGCACCATGTCAAAATGGTGCAAAATGATAGATAAAAAATTCCACTATTCCCTTATAAGCTTAAAGCAAAAAAAAATGCAGCCTAAAATTTCATTCTCTAAATAAAATAGATTATCTCATTTTTTAAAGTCTAACAGGCAGTAAAATTTATTTAAGAAATTATAGTTTATGTCACATATCTTCCTTTGTTTTAGTATTTTCTGTGACTCCAAAAAGCCATTGGGATAAATAGTAAATCACATTTTTTTTCCTCTTTGTTTCTCCCTGGAAACTGGAAACTAATCACACCCCTGGCTCACACATTATGAATACCTCACTTGATGTGGAACATAGAGATTAAAATGAGAGTGTGATAAGCAGGTGTTTGTTTTATAACAGGATCACAGAAAGTTGAGCCAAAAGGGCTCTCAGAGATCATCCAGTCCAATCTCTTTTCCACTTAAGGAGCCTGAAGCTCAAAGAGGTGTTAAAACATGCCTTTTGTCCTTAAGCATACATTTGATAAGACATCTATTTTCAAATATATGTGTGTCAAAGAAGTCTTATTCCTGCTCTAGCTGGTGTGTTTCAGTGGACTGAGCACCAGCCTGCAAACCAAAGGTTCAATTCTCAGTCAGGACACTTGCCTGGGCTGCAGGCAGGTCCCCAGTACCAGGTGCTCAAGAGGCAACCACACATTGATATTTCTCTCCCTCTCTTTCTCCCTCCCTTCCCCTCTAAAAATAAATAAATAAAATATTTAAAAAGAAAAAAAAGAAGTCTCATTCCTCTACCTTGCTGATCACTGGGAATCAAAGAAGCTGCCTTCCACATTTTAACATACTTCACAGGCATTATGCATCTGAGAACTCTGGAGCTAAAAGTAAAATAAAGTAAAATAAAATAAAATAAAGCAAAGCAAAGCAAAGCAAAACAAAACAAAATAAAATAAAATAAATAAAAAACATTACCCCAAAACTCACTTGGTTCTGGGGCTGGAGAAGGATTCTCTGGTAACTGGAATTCTAAGTGACTTACAAAAAAGAAAAGCTATAGTAACACCATGAAATACCCCACATAGTGAAGCAGAGGACATTCGTGTCCATTGCGGAGTCTTCTACCACCACAGCTGAGCTGAGCAGAGAGAACCCTGCCAGTACCTGCTGGTGAGCACACACCTCATCAGGCCCACCCATCTCCCTCTCAGGAGCTTTCCTGTTCACATCTTACTCCCTAGACACTGGGCGTTCTTCTGAGACATGGGAAAGTAGTGTTGAGGATGGGAGAATTTGGGCTTCCCCTCCCATCAGGAAACCAAATGGGAACCAGAAGAAAAAGTGTATCAGATTTATCAAAGGGGGTGATTTATTGCCTGGAATCCCCAGTTTTTTATAAGTCACCAAATAATGAAGCTATTTTCATTATTTCAGAAAGGCTATTGAAGCCCTGGCCAGGTAGCTCAGGTGGTTAAGCATCCTCTAAATATGTCAAGGTTGAGAGTTTGATCCTAGGTCAGGCCACACACAAGAATCAAGCAGTAAATAAGTGGAACAAAAATCTCTCTCTCTCTCTCTTCCTGTCTAAAATCAGTAAAAAAAAAAGACTGTTGGAAATCATACATTGATCCATACCAATGCTACATAGACTAACTATAACATCAACTTTCTTCCTTTGACTTGAATTATGTTGTCACTCAGTAGGATTATCTCGGGTTTATCAGGAGCTCTGAATAGAAGTTACAGATACCTTAGGTTGCTAAAAATGAAGAAATCATTACCTAACAGGAGAAAACTAGGTCCCTCAGAGGACCAGACAAAATGATAAAAGGTATTTTTGTAGATATATATATATATATAAAAGATTTGGAAGTACTGATTTTCAACCAAATAAAACTTTATACCAAAGGACTCTTCAAATGATCTGAACCCCCCCTCCCCCAGGTCATCTCTCCCCTGTTCCATGATAACAACTCACTGGGCAGGGCAGGGAAGCTTTCCTGTAACTGGTATCTTGTGATCTGTGGCGATCCCGGAGTCCTCTCTCTTCCTCCTTCATCCAGCTGTGACCCCAGAAGCTGCTCATCCATTTGGCAAAAGTCACATCATCATCATCATCATCATCATCTTTATGCTCCATGTAAAGGTGATTAAAAATATCCAGGGCCTGCCCCTAAATCTGGCAGAGGGAAATGTCATCAAACTCAGCTAGTTTGATGAAACCTAGGATCTCCAAAATCTGAAACTAACTGGTATTTTCAAATGGTCTCCGATAATGGGATCCTTAACGGAGAAAGATTTACTAAACAACCCCTTCACCAGAAGGCAGCCACTGGCAATGTCTATTTATAAATTGTGCAGCCCACATGCCCCTCCCCTCCCCCTGTCTTTTTAAATTGAGAGGCTTTTTAATCCTTCCATTGCAGGGGCTTGTGCCTCACAGCCTAAGGGTGGGGAGCACAGTCCACTGCCTGATTTTCCCAGTGCTTTGCTGCCGGTGGCATGTGATGGCATCTCCAGCTGTCAATGATGACGGTGCATGACCCTTATAATATGCCTGTCAGCTCCAGGGCGGCTCAAAAATGGGGCCACTGACAAGGGATGGACTGACCGCAGCCTGCAAGATGGCCAGCTATTGGCATGTCATATTCAGAGCTGGATACTCTCCTAACAATGAACTTGATATTGATATAAATCCAGCTTCTGGGGCAAAAGGGACAGGTTTTTAATTGGCATTATTTATACACATACACATGTAAATAAGTTACATGTAAAATGTACAAATCTTAAGTGCATGATCTGGTGAATTTTCACATACATTTAACCCTGTGTAACCACCACCATGCAGCTGAAGACAGAACATTTCCAGCACCCCAGCAGGCTCCCTCTCTCTTCTTTCCAATCCATCCTCCCTCCCCAAAAATTACCACTTCTGACCTCTGTTGTCATAGATGAATTTTGCCTGCTTTTGAACTTTCTTTCAGTGGAATTATACAGCATGCATTATTTTGTGTCATTCAACACTATGTTGGTGAGATTTATCCATGCTTTTGCAGTACAGTAGTTCATGCTCCATAGTATTGTATTGTATGAATATGCCCCATTTTTTTCAATCTACTGCTGATGGTCATTTGTGGATGTCATTCGGACTCTTTACAGTGGGGATATTAATATAAATGAAGCTTCTATGAACATCATGGCCCCTGGCCTTTAGAGGCCATTTTTTTTTTCAAGGTAAGAATAATATTACATATATTGTGCCTCTACTTTGTTCCAGGTACAGAATCAAATATTTTACATATGCTGTTTTCATTATAACCACCCTATGCCTGGGAGATTTGTATTACATTCTGTGGTGGATTACAAACTGAGGTCATTTTTTGCCCAAGGGGAAATAACTGCTAAGCAGCACAGCCAAGTTTGAAGCATGCAGTAAACCAACAAAATCTAGGCTCTTTTCACCACTCTTCCAGTATTCCAAACAGACCTTTGAAAAATCTTGAATTTTTCAAGAGGTATTCTTGGCCATTTCCATGTCAAATTCTTCCTTGAGCTGTAAAAAGGAAGACAATTGTGACCAATGTTCCTAGAGCATGTTACCACAAGTTTTAAGTTGCTAAAGGAAAGTAACCAAAGCATAAAGTGGTTTGTGACATTTTTATTTCTTGTTTTAAATAGAGTGATGCGTGCTGGTTATTTTGTAATGTGAATGAAAAAGGGGTCATATACTAAACCTGACAAGCTCAGGGGAGGCCTGCATGGTGGGCCCTGAAAACTCAGAGACCTAAAGTAACCACAAGGGATGGCTTGAACATAAAACTTCCTAATTAAAAGTGAGTGCTGGTAGTAGTCATGTAACAGGCCCTAGCTTCCTCGACAAATGCCAGCCTTTACCTTAAGTGAGCCTATTTATTGTCTTTTGCATCTAAGATAACGTACCCTTGGAATGTCAGAGCAATCCCCATTTTCTGGACCCCTCAAGGTATACACATTGCACGAGCACACGAGACCACAGAACCCCTCTTTGTTATCTTATTCCCCTCATACCCTCTCTATGTGCTGTAAATGTTCATTAACTGTCCCATACTCACCAGTGTGAAAGAGGTTTTCTGTTTCACCCTTTATCCAACCATAGAAGTTTTCCTGCTTTGCTTTCTCCTGTCTCCTTAACCTACCATCAGTGAATCTCATGTAACCCTCCTTCTCTCTTCCTCTGATTGCAATGTATAAAATATATTGTAAAAAAAGCTGTAACACTGTCATTCCCCACAGCTTTTCTCAACCCACTGAGATCTTGCTTCCCAGCAATTGTTGTCAGTTTGGCTCAAATAAACTCATAAAAATTATCTGCAGGTTTGGATGTTTCTTACATCCACAGTAATGTTTTTATGAGGGAGCAGAGGAAGCCTGCTTCTCAATGATCAAGATGAGAACAGGAAAGTTGTAACTGTATGCCGGCACTGTTGTTGTCTCTGTTGTCAGAGAAAGGAATAAGATAACTTCTCTTGCAGACGCAGGGCCAGGTCTGTCTACAAAAGTTGACTATGAATAAACGTCTTTTTTTCTGGTCCTCCTAAGACAAGGGTGACTTTCTTTCCAATTTCTGAAATAGAAATAAATAAATCTATGGTTGGGGGTGGGAAAACCAGAGCAGATAGTATCTAATTATTACTTTAAACTATTTTGAGGAAAAGGAATAGGACTTTATTTTAAAACTTTGCCCTGGCTGGTGTAGCTCAGTGGATTGAGCTCGGACTGCAAACCCAAGTGTCGCAGGTTCGATTCCCAGTCAGGGTACATGCCTGGGTTGCAGGCCACGGCCCCCAGCAATGGCACATTGATGTTTCTCTCTCTCTCTCTCTCTCTCTCTCTCTCTCTCTTTCTCCCTCCCTTCCCTCTCTAAAAATAAATAAATAAAATCTTTAAAAAAAACCACCTTTGAATGACATCTGCCTCAGAGTTGTGAACTCTTCCTTTCCTTAGTGCCTTATAGACGGATAGAAATTATTAAGATATTGGAAATAGCTTTATTATGAGGAATTGGCTCATGCAATTATAGAGACGGAGGAGCCCCACAAGCTGCCATTTGCAAGCTGGAAACTCAGGAAAACTAATGGTGTAATTCAGTCCAAATCCAAAAGCCTGAGATCCAGGGAAGCCAGTGGTCTACCTCCCAGTCCAAGGGCAGAAGACAATGAAATGAGATATCTCAGCTCAAGCAGTGAGGCAGGAAAAAAAATGGGCAAATTCCTCCTTCTCCCTTTTGTTGCATTTAGGCCCTCAGTGGATTGAATAATGATGCCCATGCACACTGGGGAGAGCGATCTAATTTACTAAGTCTAGGTGTTCAAATGCTGATCTCATCTAGAAACATTCTTACAGACTCACTCAGAAATAATGGTCAATGTGGGCACCCCTAGGCAGTCACAATGATGTGTAAAATGAACTATCCCAGGCCCTAATCCTGTTCACCAGGGCTCCCACCCTTATGATCCATTTACCTCCCAAAGACCCCACCTCCAAATGCCACTCCACTGTGGATTACGCTTCAACCAGTGAACTTTGGAAGATCACAGACATTCAGGGCAGCCTACATGACCAGCACCTAGTAACAACCCTGGGCACTAAGTCTCTAATAAGCATGGAGAAAATATTTTGCATGCGTTCCCACCACTCATTGCCGGAGGAATTAAGCACATTCTATGTGACTTTTGAAAGCTTTTTTCTGGTTTCCTCTGGACTCACCCAATATGCCCTTCACCTTTTGTGATTTTGCTTTGTAACCCTTTGGTGCAATAAATCTTATCCATAAGTACAACTATATGCTGAGTGCTGTGAGTTCTAGCAAATTCCCAAACTAGGGATGACAGTTGGTGTCAGAAGTAGGACGTCCTAAAACTACCCTGACTCACTGAAATGTGGCTTAACCGGTGTTTGGGGAAAGAAAGAATGAAAGAGACACAGGATGAACCTTCGATGTCCAGCGGAGACATAGCCATCTGTGGTATGAAGTAGCTGCTGAAATGATGTCCATTGTGAGGTAAAACTACCTACATAATTTAAAAATGATAGATCCAGCCCTAGGAGAGTTGGTTCATCAGATCCGTTGGCTGCTTTAGCCATGGTAGCTAAAGTTAAGGAATTAAAAAGCGCAATCTGGTTGATGTTTGTGGGTTTCATTCTCTCCTCTAGGTGGGAAAGAAAGGTCCCAAAATTTCCCCCAAAATGCTACGGTTGACCCAAAATGGTAAATCTTTGTATCAATCTCTCCTCCAAGTGGGAGGGAGGAAAATTAAGTCAGTTCTAAGGCTGGAGCAAACTGAAGATAAATCAGAAAAGAAGGAGAGGGTGGGTAATAACACTCTCTCCACTGGTGCAACAGCTCCCTGTATTATAACCCGCTGGGATCTCGGGCAACCCTGGAAGTGCTGAATTTGCTGCTCGGGGTTTGAGTAAACTTGCAATGAAATAAAAGAGAGAGAGAGAGAGAGACTTTTAAAAAGGCTTTTTATTTTGTGGCTATTGCTTCCAGATGTATGACAAAAACTGATGTAAAATATTATATGCTTATATTATCATCAGTGCTAGGGATTTCCCCAGTCAGGGGAAGCTGCCCTGTAAAAGGTGTTAGTACAACCTGACTTCCTGCTTTTTACTGCTAGTTATGGGTTAAAATTTAAACTCTTTGAATATCTGAGTGCTGAAATCTTCACAACTAATTATATTTGCTATGATTTTCACCTGCTGGAGGCTATGGGAACAGGTAGACAACATAAACGGAAAACACACTTTTTGAGTTTTAAAATGCAGTTTTCAGTTTGCTAATAAGTTCTTGTAAAATCAGTTGTCTGACCTGTAGAAACTGATGATTTTCCAGCCTAAGATGAATATTTTAGAGTGCGTCAGTTTGGACTCTAAAATTGGTAAGACAAAAAGGGCTTAGAAGGACTGGAGCCCCACTGCCTGACCCTGTAGTCTCTCAGCTTCTCTGCTGCTAAAAAAGAAGTCACTGGCCTTTTGGAATCCTGAATTCAGAGATCCTCAGTGCTTGGACCTGAGGGTGGGCTGAAACCTGATAACACCTGTGAAGGACTATTCTAATCTCTGAACACAGACGTAGTGCCAATGAACAGAACCGAGATTCTGGGACCAGTGCAGATTTAAGACACCCCTCTATGGGCCACACACGATACACATGTCACTCACGTGGGACACTGGCAGATGCCCATGGGGAAACACTTGTTCTCAGAGGGCACCATCTGAAACCAAGCTG